TTGTAGACTTCTCCATGACCCATTCAATCATCCGACTCTGAATATCTTGCATTCTTTGTAGCCCAAGTAAAACCCATCGAGAGTGTACTATGTATGGAAAACTTGCTAGGTTATATCCGAAACAAATCCGAACATTCAATTAATATATCATGATAAACTCTGAATATTACCATCCCTTGATCTCTTCAAGATCATAAAACTCCAGGCCAAGATAAAAACTACAACATCCACCTCCATTCATGAGACATGGTTTCCCTGAAAAATATAAAATTCGATAAGATCATATAATATATTAGCTTCCTTAAGGTTTTTATTTTTTAATATGATAAAGAAATATTAATCAATACCTTTATACTCATCAACCCGTCAAAATCTCAAAACACAAAACACAGGATCACGATGGTATGAACGATCGTATTCTATGTTAACCCACACTCTCATAAAATAATCGGCCAAATCTCCCACTGCGTAATATCTCAATGTCAACCCTTTTAATTTACAAACCAAAATAAAAAATGACATATATACGAAAATACTGGCATGCAAAATAAAAAACAAACTTACCTATAATTCTTTAATATGAAATAAAGCACGGTTGCATCCATTATCCCTATCGAATTGTCCACAAACGTAAGGGATTCTTTTAAGACCGCCAATACGGACGAAAAATCCCACCGTATATAAGTTTTAGGGATTTAATTTGTTAACTAACCCATAGTTACATTAAAACCACAAAAAAAATAAAAGGAAGAAAACAAAAACGTACCGATAGGAATATCGGTCAAGATCCTCTATCATTTTATACGTCTAAATCTTTCAAGCTCATATCAAATAAAGACCTATTGATTAAATAAAGAAACTTCTTTATTGATATGAAAACATAATAAAAAAAAATTACTATTACAAAACAATGAAATATTCAAAACCCTAACAGAAGCAAAAGTATAATAATGTTAAAAACCATAATGCAATAATCAATATGTCATTGTGAGAGACAATTTTTTGATCTCGTCTTTGCTTGTCAAGAACTAAATATCTTCATCTCTACCAACATAAACACTTCGCATTGCCTCTATTTAAGGTGTCAAAGTCGTTGATATCTTCATCTCTAGCTTTCAGAAACTTCTAGCATTCATATGTCCAAGTTGTTGATGCTACAATACCGGATCATCCTTCTCAGCTCTAAAACATGTTTTAGGTTTTTGCCACATGTAATAATTGTTCCAACTACGAAATCTCAAGAGAGTATGGTGGTTCTTCTCATATGTAGCCCATCATTTCATTTTATTGAAGCTCATTGTTAATCCTTCATCACACCACTGACTTACACTGATTAGGTTGGCTGTTAACCCTTCAACAATATACACATTGGTGAGATCAGATTTTTCAGCTTCAGTTAAGTCTCTTTTACCCTTAATATTCCCTTTTGCTCCACCACCAAACGTAATTTTGCTCTCTTTTACTTGAGTGTAACTGTTGAGATTAGCTTTATTCTCTATCATGTCTAGAAGCTCCACTATCAAAGTACCAAGGCTTAGAAATACTTGTTTCAGCTGAGGTATATGCAACATGGCAGTACATATCGGATTTTGCAACGTAGGCTTTAGACTCTATTCTCTGATGTGGATAAAACATTCCCAATTTCATTAGATTCTTTAGTTTAGCTGCATATATGTAACATTATTTTGTTTTTATGTGAACATGATGACCGTAATAGTAACATTCATACCCAGTCATTGATCTATGACAATGGTTCTGATTCTAATGCAGACGTCTTGCTGAAAAAACTTTAGTGTACTTTCGAGATACGGACTGCTAATGACCTGCATGTACATCCTTACATGGAACAAAGTTGGTCTTCCCACTTATCTCACCTCCACGGTAGCCAAATCTGAAATTACATTTTCCAACTCTCCCAGATGCTAAGATGCTATCCAAATCCTTTCCCCACTATTCACCACATGTATCTTTTTTCGAGTATCACTTAACTCTTGTGTGACAGCTCTGTTTTTTCCTCCTCCAAACCACACTTCCAAGACTCGACTGAATTATTTTGCCATCATACTTATCTCATCCTTTAGCTCTTGAATCTCATGTTTTTCATTGGATGCAGTAAGCGTTATTCCTCTCAGAGCATTACTCTGTCCAGCAATAATCTCATTCTCATATGCTTGCATCATTCCTACTACTTCTTCGAACTCAATAGTATCCGTATTCGAAGAGGTTCCCATAGCCGTCTTCTTGCTCTCAAACCTTCAAGGTAAACATCTTAGAAGTTTTTTTACCATTTTTTTTTTATCTTTGTACTTCTTACCA